TAACTCATGAATTTTGGCTATGTTAATTAATTTAAATTGATTCTTTATTTGAAGTTCACCAAGGAAGTCAATAATTCAATGAAGTATTATAATACAAATTTTTAATGTTTTCCACCACGTTCAAGAACTGTATTTGTATATTATTTATGGATGCTATAATGTAATCTATTAGTGCTCATGAGCATTGTTCTAAATATTAATTTATTATAATATATTGCCCATAGTTTTCTTTCTTTCTTTTTTAACAATGCCATTTAATTCTTGTATGACAGCCATTTGTAATACTTTAAAAAAAAAAACAATGTATTCCTGACCTTAGTTATAGTAGAAATTATAAAAAGTCAATCCTCACAGCAAAAAAAATAACATACTAAATTAAAGCCTTATTGTTGTCTAGAATGATAATTCTTTGCATAAATAATAGGAAATGGCAAGATTTTTGCTGATGGCATTCATTTCCATTTTACTTATTAAATAAATTTTTGTGTCATTTGGATTTGGTTTAATCCTTTCATTCTCTGAACTTCTTCTCTACCTGTAAAGACAGAAATCATTTTTTACCACTCCCCCTTACCACGATCATCACCAAATAATATCACTTCATCCAAGCTATACAATTTGTATTTCAGTTGCTGTCAACTCCACGGAGCAGTTTAAACTATGAGTTCCTCTTATTATCAGAGCAAACAGTTAAGATTGTAAGGTAGGATATAGACAGTGAGAAAATCCAGGAAGTGGAGGAAGCCAGATCATTAAGCCTGACACTTTGAGACTGTCACTTTTAAAACCAGTCATAGGTTTCTCTAATTTCCTGAACTCATTGCTTCCTCCTATTAACTTTCTTCCCCTAATCCTATTTCTTTTCAACAAGTCCCATTGTCTGATTTTGGAAGTATGGGTATACTTACAGCAGTTTTTTAGCTTGATCTGACTGAGCCTGTGAGGGTATATTAATCCTCTTCTTTCTTTCCTTGTTGGCAGGGGGCTTGTGCACGACAGCCGGCATAACCTCCAGTTGAGAGGCTTGGTGGTGCTACTTATTTCTAAAGCAGCTGGGCCCAGCAGCGTGAATGCTTCATGTCAAAACTATGACATGGTCAGTGGGATCTATTCATGGTAAGAAGAAATTAGTCTTTTGACATTGCTCTCCAAATTGCATTTTCTTTTACTGAACAGTGGGCAGTGGAAATCATTGTTTATTTCTTTGTTGTTCCCTGATTCAAAGATAGATTAAAATATTTCGTAAGGTTAAAAAAGCGGATTTTTATTGTTCTTAACAAATCTCATAGTCTTGGCTGCTCCATGCATAACTCTGGTAAATCTCCCCGTACATTTGTGTCAAATACCTTCATTTCTACCTTGGGCATTTACAACGTTCTATCATCATGAACCATCCTCCCCCATCATGGTATCATTGTATCTCTGTAGAGCTCTCTACGTTCCTTAGTCTAGGATTGATGGTGTTTTTTTTTTGTGAGGAAGATCAGCCCTGAGCTAACATCTGCCAATCCTCCTCTTTTTGCTGAGGAAGACTGGCCCTGGACTAACATCCATGCCCTTCTTCCTCTGCTTTATATGGGACACTGCCACAGCATGGCTTGACAAGCGGTGCCACAGTGCGCGCCCGGGATCCGAACCGGTGAACCCCGGGCCCCTGAAGCGGAGCGTGCACACTTAACCGATGCACCACTGGGCCGGCCGTAGGATTGATGATTTTTTTTTTTTTTTGTGAGGAAGATCAGCCCTGAGCTAACATCCATGCCAATCCTCCTCGTTTTGCTGAGGAAGACCGGCCCTGAGCTAACATCTGTTGCCAATCCTCCTCCTTTTTTTTCTGTTTTTTTCTGTTTTTCTCCCCAAAGCCCCAGTAGATAGTTGTATGTTGTAGTTGCACATCCTGGGACACCACCTCAGCATGGCGAGAGAAGCGGTGCATCGGTGCGCGCCCAGGATCCGAACCTGGGCTGCCAGTAGCGGAGCACGTGTGATTAAGCCATGGGGCCGGCCCCGGATTGATGATTTTTAAACCTACTCAAAATGGTATACCTAGTTGTAAAATAATGATGTAACTACGAGAAGTAGCCTACTTCATTGCTGTGTCATTTATTTTATTTTGAGTATTTTTGTGGTGAAGAGATTTTTACTGAAGTTACTGTAATAAGAAATTTTTACATCCCACATTTAGATTAAAAAATAGATTTATGAGCATATATTAGTCATTTTTTGCTGCATATAAAACAAAATTTTCAGTTTTCTTTTTAAAAAAGTCACTGCATATTTTTTAGTAACAATGTATCAGCAATAACTTTATTTAATTTTAACAGTGTACTTGGCACTGTGTTAAAAGCCTGCATAGAAGTAGAAATCTGCAGGTAGACTTTGGCACATGAAATTAAAACTACTCTAAAATCATGGTTGACAAAGAAATTTTGCTCACAAAAAGAAACATTTCTAGGAGCTTTGACTTATGGCTAATATGTCTTATTGATTTACTTTAAAAATCAATCCATATCTTAGATTTTTTTTTTATCCCTAGAGGTCTTAACCATAAATGTTTTCTTCTTCTGTAGTATGTAGAGATGACTGTTGCTTGCCAGCTGTGAAGTCCACAGTGTTCCTTCCTTATTAACAAGCAAGCAAAGATTATTACTGTCGTGGCTACCAATGACCCCTCCTCCAACCAGGATAATTTTGCAGACCTTTTACCATTTATCCATACAAGTATCTTCGTTGGAAGAGTTATCTTGGGATCATTTTCAGTTCCTACTCACTTTGAAGTAATTTATATCTGTTTAGTGCTTTGTAGGTTACTGATCATTTTAATGACAGTTAACCCATTTGAGCCTTACAATAATGCCATACGTAAAAATTGTTGTTATACTTATTTTACTCTTGAGAAAACTGAGATTCAAAAATCTTGAGTTTTTTTCAAGGTGACACAATTGGCAAATGAGAAAAGTTGAGGCTCTAAGTATAGTTCTCTTCCTTCCAGATGTCATGTGTTTTTTTCTTGATTCCATTCACATTTTTAGTCTGATTCAAAGAATTTATTTCACTTGTAGACTATACTAGCCATTAAGTAAGTATACCAAGAAAGATCTTCTTGTAAGTATGTCTTGAAAAGCTTCTGAATGGAAAACAACTTGGCAGATCTTTAATACTTCTACATCTTTCCCCCAACCTGTTTGAATTAGAGCTCAAAACTTTACCTTAGGGGCCGGCCCCCCGTGGCTTAGCGGTTAAGTGCTGGCGCTCTGCTACTGGCGGCCCGGGTTTGGATCCCGGGCACGCACTGATGCACCGCTTGTCAGGCCATGCTGAGATGGCGTCCCACATACAGCAACTAGAAGGATGTGCAACTATGACATACAACTATCTACTGGGGCTTTGGGGAGAAAAAGGGGAAAAAAAAAAAAAAAAAGGAGGAGGATTGGCAATAATGTTAGCTCAGGGCCAGTCTTCCTCAGCAAAAAGAAGAGGATTGGCATGGATGTTAGCTCAGGGCTGATCTTCCTCACAAAAAAAAAAAAAAAAACTTTACCTTATAAATTTTGTAGAAAGCTTTTGGCTGAGTTTAGTTGAAATAACTAGAAAAAATAACGTAAAGATCTACAATGAATATCAATAATCTGATAGTCCCTGGAAGGGAAACAGACCTCACATCAGCCTGTACCCCATGTCTCTGTTTCCTTTTGGGAACTTGGCTGATTTTCAGTCAGCTGATTTTGACCCTGTTTTATTGGTCAGTCATCTGCTCTTGCATTTGGATAACGGTACATACCTCTAATCAACACCAGCTATGTTTTATTATCTCTAAGCCTAAAATAACCCTCGGAAAGTACTGTTTGACATGATAGGTGTTCAATAAATATTTATTGCATAAATGAATCGTCCTCATTTTACAGAAAAAGAAACTAATACTGGGATCAAGACTTGTCTAAAATCCTCTCGGTAGAAAGTGATAGAGTTGAGATTTAAATCCTAGTTTTACTCTAAACTGTGTACCCTTTCTACACTGCAGGTGCTGTTATTTGTATGTACACAGCACACTGTGATGTGGCCTAATGTTTTGAATTTCTTATGTAGCCTCTAAGAAACAGTTCATCACCTTCTGATCCTTCACAGGAACATACTGCATTTGGTATATGGTTGTTGTAATATGAGCAGTTGTAAAAGAACTTTGCAAAAGAGTAGGTGGTACGTTATGAATATAAAAATTTTCCAAATAACATAAATGGGTTTCATACCCAAGTGTATAGAATTTACAATTACATTTAGGGAATAATCCTGGTGTGTGGTTCCAGGCTATTTTCTGTAATCAGACTTGATCTAGTAAGTCATTGTGATGCTTGGGTGTTTTACACACTTGTTAATGTGAAAATGTAATTTGGCATAGTACTATAAGAAACCATTAATTTGTTTCTCTATCTCTGAAGTCATTTGTTTGGCTCCTGCTTCCTTAATTGTTCAAGTACAACTTTTGCTGGAGGCTTGTATCTATAATGCTACAGTGAATTATTTAACATTTGAAGAAAGTTCTGATTTGGGAGCTTTTAAATTCACCTCCAAACTACTGGAGTTTACATGGTGTTTTTCTCTCACAAACTTGGTTCTGATGTCAGATAATGGGACCTGAGTAAATTACCTAAGGGACCAAAAGTGAGTTAGATGACCTCTTTTGTTTGGCCTAAGGATATAACTGATAGGTATAGCTTGTAGATGTGTCTAGTGAACTTACCGCATAATGGCCAAGAGAGGCAGAATTTAGGCTAAAATGTAATAAATACATTTTGAAAACAGGTAAGAGACTCACATTTATAAAAATGCACTATAAACATCTACCATAGCATTTTGCCAACCAGACCATGGGCTTTAGGTGTATTCCACCATATAAAACCCTGACTTTTAAAAAATTGTTTGCAAAGGTGATCAGGCAAAAAAATTATTGCTAAATTTACAAATACCCCAACCATAACTGAGAAAATAAGTTCACAACTTCCTGTTCTATTAATGATATGATATTTTTATTTTATGTACAAAAGATAGATCATTGCAATATATAATACATAGAATTAAAAAGTATAGACTTCTCTAATGTAACACGATTATTAAATTACAGAAATTCAGATGAATTTTTTTGACTAATGGTTCAGCTTTCTCAATTGTGTTACCAATTGACTCAGTTATTTCTCATGTAACAGTTATAAACAGACCACGTATTTTCACTCTACCTTCATTCCCTGAAATTTCCCAATACCCCTTGTTAATTATCTTAGAAGAGACTGAAACAAGTTTGCCAAACACTTTTTCTTTTCTTTCCAAGTATCCATCCAGCTAGGCTATATTTCCTGCCTCCCTTGCAGTTGGCTAGGCCATATGACTGAGATCTAGCCAATAGAGTATGAGCGGAAGTGATATTTACTGTTTCCTGACCATAAAAATCTACACTTGCAATACTCCTTAAGCAGGTAACCTTGGAAGTGACGTATTCAAGATGAAAGGTGCCTACATCCCTGAATCACTCTTAGAGGAGAGCCACCTGCCCTTCAGGAACATCCATATAGACTTCATGTATGAGAGGAAAAAATCTATTTGTTAAACCACTTAAACTTTAGGGTTTATCTGTTAACAATAGCAAGCATTATTTTAGTTAATATACCTTTACTGTTTCTGTCACCTGGTTACCCTAGGGAATTTGGTAATCTTTGATTACTCTCACTCTTTTACTTTCCATACCCAACAAACCACCAACTCACAAGTTTCTCCAAGTCTCTTTTTCTTTCAGTCCACTTGTGGTTCTCCTATTTCAGGCCTTTGTTACTTCTTGTCTTGACTTTAGCAATAGCTGTCTATCTGGTCTCCCTGTCTCTAGATGTTCCTCCTTCAGATTTTTCCTGTTAGGTCTTGTTAAATTGAACACCCTCAAGTCCTGCTTTGATCACTCATTAAACAAATACTTATTAGGCATTTACTGTGTTCCAGGCACTGTGCTTGGTGCAGGAGATACAAGCTGAATAGTGCATAATATTTACCCTCAGCAACCTTCTTAGCATCGAGCCAGGAAACATACAAGTTTACAAACAATTGTAATACAATGCTATAGATACTGTAGGTTG